TCTGGTGGATAAATTATCTTGTGAGCACAACGTTCGCTTGCTCAAAGTAAATAAAGTACCGCCACTTTCTTTATTTCATCTGCCATTCCCAGATGTGCTTCCCGACAGTTCGAACGCGTCTGACCTGGAAGAGCACAAGCAGCCACGTTTAGGACACGTTTTGGATGCTCAAAACGTAGCTTAAATACCTTTTATTTATTTTAACTCCATCCTCTTTTGCTTATTTGATTTAAACTTATTTGCCTTCCATGGACCTCCATCACACAATTTTTCTAGCGGGGAAATGACATCAATAGAAATACATCGAGCTGGATTTTAATTTGTGCAATAAGACAAAACAGTCTTGTTGTTTTCAAGAGTTTTCACTTTGACAATCACCATAAAATATTCTGTGAAAATAAATAGAATAAAACATAAAATGTTTGTATTCTAGATGCAAGAATGACATATATTTATGTTTGTCTTCATATGTTCACTGAATTAATTATCTGGGTCACGGCTTGACCGAACTTGTAAAAACAAAGGACACCTGTGACAAAGAGAGGGGTGTGGCAGATGAAGCGGCACGGTGTGTCATGGCAGCACAGACTGGTGGAGCTCCTGAATTATTTGGATGTTTGGAACTTTTGGATTCATGGTGAAGCTCGACCCAGCCCTGGGGGATCAAGAATCCTCGACCGTAAGGATATTAACATTGCCACACACAGCAAGGATCGGATCCGATACCTGGAGTCCTTTGGCGGAGCGCACTCCAGGCCTCAAGGAGGAAACACCGGGATTAGAAACGCCGACCCGGTGAGACGTTTCCATATTATTATTATTTTTATACTAAGAGACCAATTCTGATGTTTTTTATGGGCCCCAATGATATTTTTTGTTTTTGATCAGACCTTTTTTTTTGCGCTGCAGCGTAATTATTGGAATATTTATCGGGTTTTGAGAGATCTGTTTTTGTGAATTATTGAAAAGTGAAATTGATTCTGAGACTCTTTTTGTTTCTGATGTGAAGTTTAATTAATGGGATTTGCTGTAAGAAAATTTTGTTTTAAGGACAGTAAGGGTGAATATTTTACAAGATACGTATGAACAGCTGATTTTTTTTAATTAAACAGTGTCTGCCTCGGGTCTTGGGCTCTTCACAGTCACTATTAAATATTCTATTGGAGAAACCTTGGATAGGTATGTATGCTCACAACACACAAGGGGCTGTGGGGATGCATTTGTACGTATAATACATACAGGCATGTACAGTATGTAGAAGTGGGTGAAATTATTAGTATGTCATTATGTATATATACAGTATATCTGTGCGGTTATTGGTGTGTGTGGAGGTGTGGATGTTGGGGGGTTGGGGGGGGGGTGTCTTGTGGTCTTATTGGCTGTGTCCAAAACGACCGGCCGGGTCCTCCGGAGGACCCAGACTACCCGGTCTCGGCGGGCCGGGTCCTTGGTAGACCGGGAAGAC